TAGTGGCCAGAGCAGACCGCTAGGGTTATCCAGTCTAGTTCTCAGAGTTTCAAAGGACTTCTTTCTGTATCTTTCACACCAGCCTCTTATCTAGCCAGTCTTTTGGCATTTATCTATTGTAATATCTAAAGGATAGTGTGTCAGTGAGTTGTTCTCCATTCTTCCTTATATTGCATCTTATCTTGGGAGTCAAACATCTGACAGAAACATCTGCAGAAGAGCTATTTCTAGCTCTTTTTACAGACTTGTTTGTTTTATTCCAAAAGAACTACTTCCCTTGCTTTCTTGGTCTTGAAAAGGAGTCAGCCCAGCCCTGCCCCACTAAGATTTAAGATGCCATCTCCAGTAGAATTCCCCTAAGTGTCCTTCTTAGTCACAGCATGGCACCCTTTCCAAATCCATCATTGTTACTGCTCCTCATTTTCTCTAGAAACCTGATCCATCTCATCATACTGTAAGCCTCCACATCCACAAGAAGACACTTACACGGTATTTTACAGTTCCTAACTAACCAATCCATACCACATTGCCGAGGGCTGGTAACGATTACTCTCTAAGTTTAGCACTATTACTCTCCTTTAGCCAGAAGCTTAAATAATGTGAGTGGGTGGTATACCTAGAGCTCTTATTCAGTGGTCCATAACTCCAGTCCTTTCTATATTGTTACCACAGATTACTGTGCCTGCACCAGGGGAGCCTACCTCAGCATTACTTCCCTCTAGTTTCACTGTATACCCTGGAAGGAGCGGTAGGTGGTGCATCAAACAGAGCACTGGGCTTGGAATCACGAAGACTCTTCATGAGTTCAAATCTGATCTCAGACACTTACTAGCTGTGTGACCCTGGGTGAGTCTCTTAACCCTGTTTGCCTTAGTTCCTCATCTGTAAAATGAGCTGGAGGAGAATATGGCAAACCACTTCAATCTCTTTGCCAAGAAAACCCCAAATGGGGTCACCAAGAGTCAGACGCCACGAAAAGGGTTTTGCTCTAAGGAAGCTCCTTGAGGGCAAAAACTGGTTTTTGCCTTTCTTTGTAACTTCAGAGCTTAGGTCAGTTTGGCACATTGTTGTTATTGTTCATTTGTGTCCAACTCTTTGAGACCCTATGGACCATAGCACACCAATGCTGACCATAGGGTTTTCTTGGCAAAGATACCGAAGTAGTTTGCCCATTTCCTTCTCCAGTGAATTAAGGCAAACAGAGGTTAAGTGACTTGTCCAGGGTCACACAGTAAGTATCAGAGCCTGGATTTGAGCTCAGGTCTTCCAGACTCCAGCCCCAGCACTCTATCTACTGAGCCACCTACTAAGCACTTAATAAATGCTTGTTGATTATGTTCAGAAGCTATTTTTGAAAACCAAAAGAGATCATAGTATTTTTTTTCTTTTTAGGCAATTGGGGTTAAGTGACTTGCCCAGGGTCACACAGCTAGAAAGTGTCAAGTGTTCGGTCTGAGGCTGGATTTGAACTCAGGTCCTCCTGACTTCAGGGCCAGTACTGTGTCCACTGTGCCACCTAGCTGCCCCTAGAGATCATAGCATTAAAATAGATTGAGAGATGGAAGGAACTGCAAGAGGTCACCAAATCCTTTGTTCCTTAGATTAAGAAACTAAGACCAAGAAAGGTAAACACTTGACCAAGATCACACCAAAGCTGGGATTTGAACCCAGGCCTCTGACCTTTCCCACTGTCCCATTTTGCTTCCTATAAAAATGGGTGTACTTGCAATGCTGCTGTCAGAACAATGTTCCATTTAAACTACCTCTGAAAAATATCCCCCCACAATTAATACTAGACTAGATTCTTATGCTAGGATATTTTTGGAGAATTCCAAGAATTCAATACTTGGCAAGAAGACTGAGCGGCTAATTCTAACAGAGGTTGTATTTTTTAAAAAGTAATACAGTTAAATATAGTTTTAAATTCTTGTTCCTTCCTTGAAAAAACAGGAACAGGCCCACTGAGTGATGGCCAGAAAGAAATTGGGCTAGGCCTAAATGAAACCAGACTCAGGCAGTAATTTAGGTTATAATGGAAGACGCAATCCAGAACAGTGGTCCTGGACTTCTCATGCTCCTTTTTCACATTGCCATCTGCTGCATCACTGCTATGGCTGACAAGTGGCAGATAAGCTTGTGAAAGTTCTGTGGTCTGGTAAAAACTTCTGGAGGATAAGTTAAAACAACTCTATCGGCAAGGCTGCCTAACACCATGGGCTTCGTCAGCAAGAAGAGCTGCTTTTAGGAATATGCTGGATGTAAAACCAAATACCACATTAAAGAAAAGGCTGCATAGCAGATAGGGCATTCAACTTATGTGAGGCCCTTCTGCAAGGATTTTTAAAGACTGAATGTTTATTCATTCCGTGTCACATGTAAATTTATTATAAAAAGACCTCAAGAAATCCCTAAACAGCATTCTAGCTGACTCTCTCTGAATTGCACTAGCATATGAAATACCATTTCAATAATCAGAGATTTTTTTAGGGGTTGGGGGAAGGGAACAGAATTAATCGAATCTCATGACTCTTGTATGTAGAATATGATATGTGCCTACATCAACATCTTACTGCTTAAATTAATAGATTGCTTATACCCCAAGAATAATAGAAACTTATCCATTCTGACATTTTTCTTATGAAAATTCTAATCTCTGCACCCAGGATAGATGTTAACCTGGAATTGAGCAGTAGACTCAGCAGGTTTTGGGACCTGCTGGGAAACCTACACTTAGCAGGATACATAATGAAAAAACTATAGATTAATATGCCAGCTCCAAAAATTACATAGCTTCTCTATCTTAGCTTTAGATTTTTAAAATGTGTTCAGAGAGTTTATTATCTACACATTTGAATAAAAGCCTGTGCAGCTTTTTTTTTAAACCAGGAGTGATAATCTATCACAATGATCAATACAATCAGAGTTCAGTAGGGCCCTCCTCACTTCTGCTGCTTGAAATCCCTAGCTCTTTTCAAAGATCACCTTAAGTACCACCATCCATGAGAGACCTACCTCAACGCCTAGCACTGTGCCTGAAATACAGAAATTGAATAAATTATTTTTGCTTAAGTTTCTCAAGCATATATTCTCTCTCTAGCACCACTCCCCCTACCCCAGCTACTAGTGCCTCTTAAATGACTATATTATATAAACACGCATATATTTGTGTTTATTAACATGTGTACAAGTTTTTCACCATAGAACATAAGCCCCCTGAGGGAAGGTGCTAAGTTGGGTTTCTTTTGTTGCTTTTATTTTAGAATCCCGAAATATCTAGCAGATACTTAAGCAAAACTTACTTGTTAACTAATTGATCAACCCCTCCAAAGCTGTAGAAGTATCTTTTCTCTGACTGCTAAACGAAAGAACTTACACACACACACACACACACACACACACACACACACACACACACACACACACACACACACACACACACACACACACACACAAATGTTAGATGTCTATTTCTTTCAAGTTATTACTCTGGACCTCTGAGACATCAAGAAATCTTTCATCGATTCTTTACTATAGAACCTTCAGCAGCCGCCTTTGTCTTCCGGGGATGTTAGGACTTCCTCTTATTAAAAGGGAGGAGATCTCTCACTGATTGCTTTATAGATAGCACCCAAAAGAAAATTCTTCACTGACTTGCTTTGAGCGCTTGGTTAGCTAACACTCGCCTAGCTCCTTCCTCCTGGTATCTTCCTCCCTTGGGCGCCACAAAGCATTCTGTTCACCTCAATATATCAGGATCTGGTGGTTTCATGATCCTAGACAGCGCTGGTGCTGCTGCTAGAGCAGCATTTTAATTCATTCGCTTATTGCTTCTTGCTTTGCTTTGTCTTAAAGTGAAATGGAATGGCTTGGTTGTCAGCAGAGCCCCGGAGTATGGGGGTTTTGCGCTTTTCAACACTGCTGTATTCTTGGCTTTGATCTCCCTTTACAGTGTAGCCTAAAGTCACAATCTCAGTCTGGTTAGGTAATGTAACATTCAAGTATGTATTTATTTTTAAACTGACCCCTTCCGTACCGAGCAGTAAGAAGGACGTCCTGCCAAAAAAACATGCTCCTTTCTATTTTTATGATGAAACACATGCCTCTCAAAGCAGGAAGGGGGAGTGGATGGAGGAGAAGAGAGCCGGTATAATAATCCCTCCTCAGTAAATGGCTCTAATTAGATCAACTCGCCTCTCCATCTGAGTGATGGTCCTTTAAGACAAGCCACTAAGAAGTTTTGGGGGGATGGGGAGTCTTTCAAATTGTTTCAGCTGTTTAGCAACCAGTTTTAAAAAGCACAATTCAGCGCTCTGGCCAGCAGGTTAGAGCACCAGGATGAATTCCCTGTTTCTCAGGGAGGACACAATAGGGGCAATGCCAACCCTAGATCACAGGGCACAGTGGGAGCCTGAAGTATTCCACCCAGTGCCCTTGGCCCAGAGACAACCCCACAGCCATGTGTGGTGCTATTACCAAACCAGAAAACACAATGGACATCCAAGAATGGTTCTATCCCCAGCTCGGCGAGAGTGCATTGTACCCAGGCAGCCGCACCCTGAAAACTGGTGGGCACAAATCATATAGCTCTCTGGCTTAATGCCTTCAAACCTTCCACCCCTCCAAGCTTCTTTATGCCCCCTTGTGTCCTTCTAGAACCACAGGAGACTGTGATCCCTTTGGTAACGTGATTTTTTTCCAGCTCTCCTCCCTAAGATCTGAGCTTTACAATCCTCTCACGCAAAGAGAATCGCACTCCCACCCACCCCCACCCCCAGGGAAGCCAAGCGGTAGCCGGAACCCGACACCGCAGCTTCTGATCTCTGTGGACGTTAAGGAGAAAGGGTGGTGAGCTTGGAAACAACTTACGAGCTGTCTGTCCCTGGTGATCCACAGCCACCAGCTGAGCTCCGAGTCTCGGCTTCTGGATCCGACTGCCCCGCCCAGCTGCCGCGGTCCCTTGGGACTGGCAGCCCGCAGCCCCCAGCCCCAGGCTTGCTCACCGGCGTGGCTGGCTGCGGAGCTCGCTGCCTCGCCTGCAGCCGCAGTTGCTATAGAGAACCGGTGCCGCTGTCTCGCTTCCTTTCACTCTCGGGGAGACAGGCACCGAGCGGAAGGTGGAGGTACTGGATGGTGGCAGTTGGCACCCGAGTTTCTCGCGTTGTCCTCCAAAGCCGTCTGGGCTCGCCCACTCCCACAAGCCGCGCGGACGACGGACTACACAGCCCTGAAGTAGTCTTCGCCGAGGCCAAGAAGGAAAAGGTGGGAGGGAGACTGCGGAAGCTTCGCCTCCAACACAGGGGACAGAACCTGAAATGGGTGGAGGCAGAGCGGAGAAGGGGAGGGACCAAGACGAAGATGGGAGGAGCTTTGGAGCCAAAGCTCCAAAGAGCCAAGCCCACTTCACCTGGGCTGCGTCCTGCCGCTGCCAGGGTCAAGTGGTAGTCCCCGAGCCCTAGGTGAGGAGAAGGCGGGGAGCAAGCAGGTTTTGTCCCAGAGCCGGAGGGGATTCATTTATACCGCAGAGGGAGCACTCCCGGAGAACAATGGGGCTCCATTGTCAGTCCCTAGAGGTACAGTTGTATCCCCATCAGCCGGAGAATCCCTTTAGAACATAAGCACCTAGCAGGGAGGGAAAGCTACAATTCTCCCTTCCCCGCCCGAGTTTCCTTCCTAATCACAGAGACTGGTCTTAGAGATACCTTTGTTTAAAGAGTGGTCCCCAGGAAGTTGGTCTGACTGTCCCCAAAGATAATACATGCATTTCTGATTACCGTCACATACAGTGCCCTGTTGGCATCGCTCTCTCTCTCTCTCTCTCTCTCTCTCTCTCTCTCTCTCTCTCTCTCTCTCTCTCTCTCTCTCTCTCTCACTCTGTCTGTCTCCGTGTGTGTGTGTGTCTGTATGGCTTTGCAAACCTTACATCTCTAAAGAAATGCTAGATTATTAGTATACAAAAGCCACCTCTTAGAGATTCCTGGGTTTGCTTGGCTCGAAACAAGCCAAATCTGTCGGTTCGTTTCATGTGGGTTCCCAGTGAGGTGGGTGAACCTAGCAGGGAAAACTGAGTGCTGGACAGAAAGGATACGGCGTGAGCAAAGCCAGGGAGTGCCAAATCATCGCCCCACCTTGGCTTCGCCCTTCCTCCCTTCAGTACACTCCCCCATCCCTTTCCCGGTTTGGTTCCCGCGTAGAAGCCCAGTTCTGTCAGTTTCTCGAGCCTTCCCCTCCGAGAGGCCACGAAAACCTGGAGAGCTGGATTTCTCACGGTTAGGGCTGGTGGAGCCCGGGCGGTAGCAAGGAGTGTGTTCTGTTCGGCTTGGTTTGTGGATTTCAAGGGGGAAGCATTTGCTCTCCTGGGATCGATGGGTTCTTTCCCAGTACGGTAGCACTTTCAGACACCAAGAGTCTCCCACCCGCCTGTTCACTCTAGTCTGGGAGGTAAGGGAGAGGGCTTGCTGGTGGAGAATGATTACTCCGGAAGGAAAAGTTTTGCAGCTGGTCTGAAGTGGGTGGTGTTATGGGTGTGAGAAGCAATTGCAGCAGGAGCACCTGTGGTCTCCTATCACTTGCAAACCCCTGCTTATTCCCCCAACTCCCATCCCCGCCTCTAGAGGAAACAACCCATCCCAGTGCATGAACTGCAATTCCCTTAGCTGACTCTCTCCTTTCCTTATCTGACAAGAAATAGAGAAGAAAGGGAAAGGTTTTCAGTCCTTATCTGTGCCTGCCAAATTAAACTGAGATGGGTAGTGATTCCACCTCAGCAGTCCCAGCTGTTTGGGGCTGCACTTGGGAGCAGCAAACTAGAGAAGGGAGTTGATCTAGGTTAACCTTTGAGTCCTGAGACATTCAATCAAACAGTTCCTAAGTGCCTAGCATTGTTCCAGGCACAGTGCTAAGCACTGGAGATACAAAAAGAGGCAAACGATAGTCCCTGCCCTCAGCATTCAGACTGGACTGACATTCTATCCCACAAGACTGTATTGGAAAACATCCACAGGGAAATGTGGGCAGCAGCAGCTTGGTTAGCTTCCTGTCACTGAAAGTGACTTACTCTTCTAGGTACTACTGAAGCCTATTGACCAGGGCCCTTTAAAAAAAAAACAGTTGCAAACTAAAAGTGACAAGAAGCATGGGACAACTATTCTGAAAAACAAAATTTGTGGGTGGAGTGTGAAAGTCTTCAAAGAAAATAATAGTTGGCAAGGCAAAGGGCCATGAGGTTGAAAGTCAAGTGAGAAACTATGCTGAGTTCATGCTAGAAAATTTGCAAGGAAAACAGCTAATGAAGATAAGACTCCAGTGGTGTTTCTTCCTCTCTGTAAATGACAATTTCTTCAAAGTTTCCTTTGACAGATACCTGAATTTAACACTAGGCTCCTGACAATTTTACTCCAGGTTCTTTTTTCATTTCTTTTTTTTTCTCTTGAAAACTGTATTTTATTTTTTCCAATTACATGTAAATATAGCTTTCAACATTTATTTTTTGTAAAATTTGGAGTTCCAAATTTTTCTCCTTCCCTCCTTTCCCTTCCCCCTCCCCAAGACAGCAAGCAATATGATATAGGTTATACGTGTACAATCACGTAAACATATTTCCACATTAGTTATGTTGTAAAAGAACAGAACAAAAAGGAGAAGCCACAAAAAGCAAAAAAAAAATTGAAAATAGTATTCTTTGATTTGCATTCAGACTCCATGTTCTTTCTCTGCATGTGGTTAGCATTTTCCATTATGTGTCTTTTGGCATTGTCTTGGATCATTATATTGCTGAGAAGAGATAAATCAATCATAGTTGATCATCTCACAAGGTTACTGTTACTCTGTACAATGTTCTCCTGGTTCTGCTCCCTTCACTCAACATCAGTTCATGTAAGTCTTTCTGAAATCCATCTGCTCATCATTTCTTATAACACAGTAGTATTCCATTACATTCACAACACCACAACTTGTTCTGCCATTCCCCAATTGATGGGCATCCTCTCAATTTCCAATTCTTTGTTACCACATAAAGAGCTGCTATAAATATTTTTGTACACGTAGGTCCTTTTCTCTTTTTTTATGGTATCTTTGGGATACACACCTAGTAGTGGTGTTGCTGGATCAAAGTGTATACATAGTTTGATTGAACTTTGAGTATAATTTCAAATTGCTCTCCAGAATGGTTGGATCAGTTCTTATTTTAAGTAGTTTTTTAGTTTATTCTCTAGGATTCTCTAAATATACCACCATATCATCTGCAAAGAGTGATAGTTTTGCTTCCTCATTGCCTGTTTTAATTACTTCAATTTATTTTTCTTCTCTTATTGCTAAAGCTAATATTTCTAGTACAATATTGAATTATAGTGGTGATAATGGACATCCTTGTTTCACCCCTGATTTTATTGGGAAGGTTTCTGGCTTGTCCCGATTACATGTAATGCTTGCTGATGGCTGTAGACAGATACCATTTATAATTTTAAGGAAAGCTCCATTTATTCCTATGCTCTCTAGTGTTTTATTAGGAATGGGTGCTATATTTTGTCAAGAGCTTTTTCTACATCTATTGAGATGATCATATGATTTCTGTTGGCTTTGTTATTGACATGGTTAATTATGTTAATAGTTTTCCTAATACTGAACCAGTCCTGCAGTCCTGTTATAAATCCCACCTGGTCATAGTATATTATCCTCATGATAAATTACAGTAATCTCTTTGCTAATGTTTTATTTGAAATTTTTGCATCAATATTCATTAGGGAAATTGACCTATAATTTTCTTTCTGTTTTGGCTCTTCCTGATTTAGGTATCAGCACCATATTTGTGTTATAAAAGGAATTTGGTAGGACTCCTTCACCTGTTTTTCCAAATTTATATCACACTGGGATTAATTGTTCTTTAAATGTTTGGTAGAATTCACTTGTAAATCCATCTGGTCCAGGAAATTTTTTTTCTTAGGTAGTTCATTGATAGCATGTTCAATTTCTTTTTCTTAAATGGGGTTATTTAAGTATTTTATTTCCTTTTCTCTTAATCCAGGCAATTTATATATTTTTTGTAAATATTCATCCATTTCACTTAGATTGTCAGATTTATTGGCATACAGTTGGGCAAAATAGATCCTAATGATTGCTTTAATTTCCTCTTCATTGGTGGTGAATTTACTCTTTTCATTTTTGATACTGGTAACTTGGTTTTCTTCTTTTTTTTTGAAGCCAAATTAGTCAAAGGTTTATATATTTTATTGTTTTTTTCATAAAACCAGCTCTTAGTTTTATTTATTTATTAGTTCAATCATTTTCTTACTTTCAATTTTATTAATCTCTCCTTTGATTTTCAGAATTTCTAATTTGGTGTTTAATTTGGGATTTTTAATTTGTTTTTTTTCTCTAGATTTTTAAATTGCATGCCCAATTCATCAATCTGCTCTTTATTTTATTCATGTAAGTTTTAGAGACATAAAATTTCTCCTAAGTACTGCTTTAATTGCATCCCATAAATTTTGGTATGTTGTTTTATTATCATCACTCTCTTTGCTGAAATTATTGATTTTATTGAATTTGTTGTTTGACCTACTCATTCTTTAGGATTAGATTATTTAATTTCCAATTAATTTTTAACCTATCTTTCCATGGCTTTTTATTACATGTAATTTTTATTGCATCATGGTCTGAAAAGGATGAATTTAATATTTCTGCCTTTCTGCATTGAATTGTGAGGTCTTAGGCCTTAATACATGATCAATTTTAGTGTAGGTGGCATGTACTGCTCAGAAAAAGGTATATTATTATCTATCATCATTTAGTTTTCTCTAGAAGTCTATCATATCAAACTTTTCTAAAATTCTATTCACCTCCTTAACTTCTTTCTTGTTTATTTTGTGGTTAGATTTATCTAGTTCTCAGAGGGAAAGGTTGAGGTCCCTTACTAATATAGTTTCGTTGTTTATTTCTTCCCATAACTCACTTAACTTCTCCTCTAAGAATGTGGATGCTATACCACTTGGTGCATATATGTTTAGTATTGATATTACTTCATCTTCTATGGTACCTTTTAGAAAGATGAAGTTTCTTTCCTTGTCTCTTTTAACTAGCTCTAGTTTT